TGGCTCCTTCCTGGCTTTCAAAGTCTGTAAACGAGAAGTCTTGGCTCTTGTGGTAATTGCTTCCAAGAGGTTTACTCAATTCGAGTAAAACTATAAACCCTGTAACTGACATGTACTTCCTTGAATGGGCATTAAAAGTAATTTAACCTAACGAATAGTAACATGACCACTATTTTGATGACTAAGAAATGTAATTCATCAAATTGGCAGTTCGATGAATGATACCATGCAATCAACAACTGGTTTGTTACAATTTGGCTTGATTCATCAAATTGGCGGTTTGATGAACCGAATATTGTAATCCAGACTAGGTCAGTTACAATTTGGCTTGATTCATCAAATTGGCGGTTTGATGAACCGAATATTGTAATCCAGACTAGGTCAGTTGCTTGTTGGTCATAGATAATAATGACACCTTTCTGTTTTTGTTAAACATCTCAATTATCCCGCCAAAAATTATTGGGTCTAAATTGGTTTTTATTATTATTATTTTCAGAAACAAACTAACTTGTTTTTTAGGAATTTATCATTCATAAAGTCTTTATGATATATTTTCAACTTATAATGAATATGAAATTATAATTGTTATTTTGAAAAAAAATTATTCATGATCAATTCATGATTTAACCAGTTCCTTCAAATTAGGAGAGCATATTCAAATATAATCGCTCATTAAAATCAATTTTTATGTTTTTTTTTAAATCGAAATTATCTCATCATAAACCATGCAAACTGACTATTTGTTCTTATCACCATGTTACCAATATCAGAATTGTCTTTACAACCAAAATTTCGCTCGATAAAAGTCCATCCAATAGTGAGATAATTGAGCAACGAACATTTTTCCATATCACAAAAAACCTCCCCTAATTTTTTTTTGGAATTTTCAACCATGTTAAAAGTCGGGATCTACAAATGTATTCTCTTTGACATAGGATAAAAACATCCTTTCTTATAATTTCATTGTAAAATAAAATTTTCTTAAATTTATTGAATCCAAACTCAACTTTGCAACATTTTATTATCATAAAAACTAAGAAACATCAGGTAAACTTCAATTTGGAGAGCTTAAAATCATATCTAAATTGAAAAATAAGGGGAAAAAATTGTAAAAAAAATCTCATTAGATGGGGCAAAAAGTGACTTTTTTAATGTGTTTTTTTAAAAAATCGTGCCAGCTGGCCAAAAAAGGTGTGCCAGCAGGCGTGCCAGTTTGTACAACCCTAATTATGCCTTAAAAATCCAAATATAAAAAATCGTAAATAAAAAATATATTTTTTATTTTTATTTTGTAAATAATCCGTTTACTAAATGGGACTGTATCATGAAAGTAACAAAAATCATTATTTAACAAGATTCAAAACTGGTGCAACGAAATGCACATTGATTTTGTAGTGTAACAAAGAGAGATTTATTGTAAAAAGTACAAAATAGTATATTTATTATCGTGATTAGCGTAGAAATGTATGAGTTTGGGACGGATTTCTGGTGCATTCATAACTAAAGTGATACATTGTCTGGAGCAAGTTCAGATCTTTAACTTATGGCTTGTTTGGTGCTAACTCACCCAATTTAAGTGCACTAGAGGGGATTTTGTCTGTAATGAGCATGCACCTTGAGTTGTTGCTTGGTCCGTGTACGAAAGATAGTAATTTAATACTATACTCGATTAAATGTGAATTTCTAATTTTGAATTTGCGTTTTTTCCTGAAAATAGTTACAATATATGAAAGAGTTGGCAAAACTAGAGGACACGTCTTTAAGGGTTTGGCTCGTGCTTCATGTTAATATGCCGAAACTAAAATAAACGTATATTGGGGGTCGAAAATTGAGAGCTCATATCTTTAAGTGCTACTTTTGAAATATAAGAAGGTGCATTATAACTTCTGTCATTAAGAAATAATGCTTTACTTGTATAGCAAAGTACATTTTTGAATGAGAATCAACAGAAAATGATATTGAGCAATGAATTTTGATAACTCAGTGCATTGCTCAGAATGTATGTATAATATAATATTTATATAGAACAAAATGCAAGCATATTGAACAAAATCAATGTGAGTAGTATATGTGGAAGGGTTGTGTGACTTTTTTTGTAAACGTAAGAATTCATACAATATCGAGCGATTTTGTATCATTTTTTTTAACATATGAAGTAAAAAATGTATGATTCTTACGGTTTTTATTCTTACGTTTTTGAATAAATCAAGATTTAAAAAATTTTCAAAATTGTAAGACATTTACACTCAGCCCAAACATAATGAAATAAATCATTAAAAAATTAACATTAATTTTAAAATAATTTATTTTTTATCTTTTATAAAAGAAGCTATATATAGATGATGTCAGATATTCCGCGATTAATTAAACATTGTTTAAATCCTGAATGGAATCAATGGAGTCATAATCAAAGACCTCATAAACGAGTAAAAGAAATTAGAAATAATTATTTTCATGAATAAAAGATTCACTACCATAATGAAATAAAAAATGAAAAAATAAAAAAATTTTTAAAAAATAAACTTCTTACGAAAAATTAAACGCAAGACTATCAAAAGATAGAGTTGAAAGAGTAATGGTAATGATGAAGAAGAATTTGATGAGTTCAACATAGAACTTTAAGAAACTAATGATTATTTGAATTTATGAAATCAATTATCTGATTTACTCTTTCTTCAATCTCTTCTATTCGTTTTGTTAAATCATCTATTTTCATTAATGAGGTGATTCTTGATTGAGGAATAGATTTCAAACTAACCACCCCCTTTATTTTTGAATAATTTATTTTTATTTTGTATGAAATGAGCGTCAAAACTAACAACGTTAAAAAATTAGGATTCACAAACGAGGAAATAAAGGATATATTAGATGAGATGTGTTATGAAGTTAGTAAATATTATTTAAGAAATTGTCAAAAATTTGCCGAGTTATTAAATGATTTAGATTATGATGGAAAAATGAATAAAGATGATGTTATAAATTTCTTATATCCCACATCTGAAGAAGAAAAACCTAAAGAACCTGATGTTTTCCCTGAATATTATGAAGAACGGATTAAAGATGATGATGAATACAATGAAATTGAAAAACTGGAAAAATAAGAGATGAAATAGATGAAAAATTAAGGAATTAAGAGAAGTTGAAAAATATAATGAAAATGAAGTAGAGGGTTTAATGAATATCCCAGCTTCAGAATCAGCAGTTCAGAAATCTCATGAAGAAAGATATAAAAATTATGTCTCAGAATCAACACAAAATTTATTAGATGGCGAAATAGATAAAACACTTTCAGAAGAAGGTACTAAATTTATTCGTAAACATAAGTTACAATTTATTGATAATGAAAAATACCCTTGTATCTTACTTCACCCCCTCTCGATTCTGAGAAATTCAAAAAAGCTCTTAAAAATGTGACATATGCAACTAATACGATTAAGAAAGAAGATCATGATATTTACACAAATTATTATTTAAATAAATGCACGGGTTTGATAAAGTTTTTGATTTATTAGATAAAATATCAAAAGAAACCATTGGAACATATAAAATTTTGTGTGATTGTGGTTTCATTATTGAAGATACTAATAATGTTTCATATGAAAGAACAGCACCGAAGGAAGACGAAGTTGAAAGGTCTATACCATTCGTTATTAAGAATATAAAAGATATGAAAACTTATAAACATTATATTTATTCATTTATTTCAGAAAAAATGGAAGCAACCCATAAAACATCTTCTCATCATTTTATAGCTATTCATACATTCCTTTTCAAAGTTGTGAAATTAAATAAGACAGGAATTAGATTTAATGTATCAGGGTACGCATTCTTGAGTAAATTAAAATGTATTCGTCACGTCGCAGATGATAAAAATTTATGTGTTCTTAATTCATTTTATGGGCTTTAAAAATAAACTTTATTTTAATTTATTTTTTTAATTTTTTATTCTTACATAAATGAACAAAAACGGAACCGCTAAAATGAATGATAATCAAATTAGAGCAGAAGGTAGAAGGTTATTTAAACGCTTCTATAACATTCCTGATGGTGTTAATCCTAAAACTCGTAGAAGTTATTTAAATGAAGCAATAGATTCATATGAAGGGTTTGACATTTCATCAGAAAGTGAGAGATTAGCGAGAATGTTAAATGTTAATATTGATTTCTATTATTGTGATCCTCAACCAGAAGACGTGGACATAAATAAGGTAGACTTTCCATTAGTGGAATCAATAATGATAGATCCAGAATTTGAAACAGTAAATATTTTATTAACACAGAGTCCATGTGGAAAACTTCACGCTGACAGAATAACAGACGTTGAAGCACTCACTGGCTATAAAGTTTGTCCATTTTGTAAAGAAGAAGTTTATTCTATCCGTGATGATCCAGAAAGGAAAAACCAAAGAAGATTTTTAAAGCATTGTGAGAAATGTAAAGAAAATAATGGAAGATTAATTCAAGACGTTCAATTGCAAAAGACACAGCAACCATATGCACCACATATTACGAAACAGAAGATATATCAGTGGTTATTAGCTCACAATTTGCAGAAATATTATAAACCGACAAGATATTATATTACTTTTGACTTCGAAACATTAGAGACTAAAGAAGAATTACAACTTTCTGAGTGTGCAACTTTGAATGCTTACTTAAAACCATTCATGGTATCATCAACGGTTAAATTAAACGATAAAACATATACGAGGAATTTTTGCTTAACTTCGAGTGATTCTTTTATTTCTGATTGGATTGAGTTTTTATTTTCAACCTGTTCATTAGTTGTTGAATCAAATATGAGTCAATACAATGAATTATTGAAGTCGCAAACGGCGGGGACTTTGTCTCATACATTAAATGAAAAACAGAAGGAAGCATTTAAAGAACTTCTAGATGAGGAATTCAATAAAGTGAATATCATAGGTTTTAATTCGGGAAAGTTTGATTTAAATTTAATTCTTCCTGATTTAAACACTGCAAAATGGAAAATAAAATCAATGCTGGGTTCATCTTCACAATTTAAGCAAATCATTGTAAAGAAAACAAACGTTCCATATGAATTGAGATTTATTGACATCAGAAATTATATAGCGGGCGGGACATTAGACCAATTCACTCAAGATTTCGGAAACAATAAATCACGTGTTAAATCCTTTTTCCCTTATCAATTCATCACATGGGAAAATTACGAAGAAGAATTATATAAAGAGGAACCATTCACGAAAGATTCATTTTATTCAGCATTAACTCAAGAAACTATATCAGATAGTGATTATCAAATATATCTCAATGATGCTAAAAATTTTAAGAATAGATTAGAATATTTTATTCATTATTGCAATAAAGATGTTGAAATTATGATTGACCCAATTGATAAAATTATTGAAGAAACATTTGTTTATAAAATTGATATGCTTCATAATCTTTCTTTATCATCGAATGCTTCAATGATTCGTTACGCTTTAGCATATAAAGACTTTAATCCTAATGAAAAATATCCTGAGGAAGAGATAGAATCAAGTTTTGAATTAACGAAAAAGTATTGGAAATATAAAATTGAATCATATAAGAAACAAGATGAAAAAGCAGAAAGGGATACTAAAAATAATGTTTCAATGGATGATTTTCAATACTATCACGATTTAATCCTTTCATCTAAATGCAAAATGTGTGGTAAAGCGTTTACATATGCAAATAAACCAACATTGGATAGAATCGATAATGAAAAACCACATACCAAAGAAAATTGTCAGTTAATGTGTTGTTATTGCAATGTCGTAAAATCAAATAAAGATGAAGATGTTCAACGTTTAAGAATCAATTTAAGAAATTATGCATTAAAAAATAATTTACCAATGACTTTAGATTCAGTTGAAGCTTATCACATTCTCCGTAATGGAATTACTGGTGGTTTATCAAATGTTCAACATAGAGTAAATCTTAAAGGAATCACGCACATTAATAAACTTTCATATAGTCCAGAAACTAAAACTGTATCAAATGAGGACACCACCAACATTATGACTCATTTCGTTGGTGTTGACTTTAATTCATTATATCCTTCATCATTTTCATCTAATCCTCATGATTTCATTCAATATACTGACCATAAAATGTATATGCCGGGAAGATTGAATGGTGTTATCATTTGTGATACAGCAATAAAGAAAGCAAAAGCACTGGGAATAATTAAGAAGAAAAATACTTTATTCGTTGCTGAAGTAAAGGGTCACATTGATGAAAAATACATTAATGATTACATAAACTTTTTACCGATAATAAGAAACTTAGATATTATCACAGATGAAAAAACAATTGGCAGTTTTATGTATAATTACATGAAATCAAACAATTTACCAGTTGACCAGAAACAGAGGAAATTAACTCAGTTAGCATCAACACACAACCAATATCAACCATTTTCTTCTTATTATCTATGGTATCTAATCGACAGGTTTAATTTTATCATTGATGATATTCAATCAATTTTAACATTTACAAAAAACACTTGTTTTAATGAATTTGCGAACGAATTTATGAACGAAAGACAAAAGGCTGAATTAGAAGGAAATAAAGGAAAAAGTTTATTTTGTAAGATTTCGCTTAATGGATCATATGGTTACGATGCAATGAATACACAAAATTACGCAAAGACTAAAATAATGAATGCACAGAAGGCACGCGTTGCATGTATGTCAAATAAGTTTAAAAACATAAGAGAAATAGGTGAAGATACATATCAAGTGATGCTCAAAGATAGATTTTATAGATGTGATACATGTTTACAAAAGGCATTTTTTACTTTAGATAATGCTAAATACTGGTATTTAGTTTTCATTTATGATTTTATGTATAAATGCATGAATCTTAATCGTTTTCATTTCATTGAAGGTGATACTGATTCATCTTATTGGGCTATTGCTGGCGATCCAAGTCTTCCTAACACTCAAGCATTTCAGGCGATTGTAACCGATAAAAAATTTTATGATAAAAACATTTTCAAATTCGCACCATTTGATTTCTTCTGTTTTGATGAGAAATTTAAACCTAAATTAAAGAATAAAGCTGAAGAAAAAGCACATGAGAAAAAATTATTGGGTTTAGCAATTGAGAAACAAGGTGATAACATGGTTGCTTTATGTCCTAAGTGTTATACATCATTCAACGGTTCAATCTATGGAAGTGATTTTAAAAAGATTGCACAAAAAATGAAGGGTGTTAGTTTAAGACAAAATAAGCAATTAACACCTAAAAAATATTTGGATATAATAAATGATAAAGTGATATTTGATGGTCAAAATATTAATTTACAACTTAAAAACGGGTCAATGACTCGCTTAACAATTGGTAAGACTGCATTAACAGGAGCACACACTAAGGCCGTATGTTGTGAAAATGGATGTTGTATGCCATTTATTTAATACAATTTAAAATTTTATTTTTAATGAAATGCCACAGAAGAGACAAAAGGAACCAAATCGATTTATACCAAATGGTTTTAACTTTCAGATTCCAAATAATCAACCACAACGAATTTTTTAAATCCATCACAGCATCAACAGCAACAACAACCGCCACCATTTGATACCGTTTTAGAAGAAGGAACCGTTAATGATGCGATTCAATATGTAAATAATGGTTTTGATACTATGATTCAAAGAGGTGGGCACCCTTAAAACATTGATTTTATTTTTATATAAATGGATAACGTAGATTTAAAAATTTTAATTGCTGATTTAGTATTTAATCAAAATTTTCTTAGTTATTATGAATTAAAATCATATCTCCAAAAACATAATAATAATATAACGGGTGATGATATGGAATATTATTATCCATATTATAAAAATGAAGTTTTGAAATATCATAATAAAATAATTTCTGAAATTAAAGACAAAATTAAAAATAATGAATATACAAAGGGAAAAACTAAATCACAACTTAAACAGTTGAAAGATTTCAAAAATAAAGTATTAACAGAAGAAGATATTGATGAATTATATAATTTATATAATCCTGAGCCACAAAAACCAAAGCCGAGGTCTAAAGTAGCAAATGTTCAACAGCTAAAGGAACAAAACGCCCAGGTCCTTCAGACCATAAATGAAGCACAAGCTTTAATTTATGATTCATTAGTTAAACCATATTCAGCCCGACTTTTAAATGAAGATCAACTTTTGGAATTCATCCTTCAACATAAACTCGAAGCGGGAAAGTATATCAAACCTTTATATACAGCATATTTAAAACAAATGAATAGAATACATCCAGAATTAATGAAAGGAAAATCAACAACTAAAACTTCATCATCCAAAATCAAAGCGGATAAAATTAAACCACTTGCAATACCAAAACCTCCAACGACAGTACCGCCTCCTCCTTCAGTTAATCCTTCATCATTCACTTTATTATATCCATTTCAAACATTAAAGAAACAAAAAGATTTTAAAAAGGGTTTCAAGATATTAAATAAACCAACTGACCCGAAAATTCAACCGTTAAAGGAAAAATTTAGTCGCCCTTCATTTGCTCCATATCCATATTCATACGAAATCGATCATCTGGAATATTCAAAAGGAAACGTTACTTATTTATTTGCCATTAACATTAACACTAGATATTTATATTGCATTCCAGTGAAAGGGAAAAACAGAACAGGAAACAAGAAGAGCTATTCAATACTTACTAGATCATGAAAGAGTAGATAATATCAGGGGTGATGGCGATAAAGGATTTCAGGCAACTATGACTCATTATTTCCCACAAATTAATTTTTTCTTTTCATCCTCTCCATATACGTTTCATAATAAAATAGTTGATGCGGTAATGAGAACTCTTAGAGATGCGTTAGGGTTAACGGTCAGATATACTGGGATGGAAATCATGACTCCATCATACAGCAGTTAGTATATTATTATAATAATACATGGCATAGAACTATAAACATGAAACCAGTGGAAATGAAAAATGATATTTCAAAAGAATGGGAATATATTAGAAAGCAAATGGAAAGGTTGAATGATGTTAAACGTGAACAAATTAATTCGGGGCTCATGAATTTTAAACAAGGGGATAAAGTTTTGATTCATCTCGATTATGGAAAAACTGATAAATCAATGACAAAAAGAAGACGAAGATTTGACACAATAGCTGAATTTGTTAGATATATTAACGGCAATGCATTAGTTGAAGTTGACAATAAATTAATAGAAATTCCGATTTATTTTATTACTCCATTATATTTAAATAATATTTAATTTTTTTTATTTCGTAAGAAATGAGTGACAACAAAGCAGCCAAGAGTCCAGACAATGAATATAAAAAGAAACTAAACAGAATTAAATCAAAAATATGCTATTACAAAAAGAAGTCGCAATGCGGTGGGTTGATGCCATAAAACTAAAGTAATTGAAAACGATAAAGAGAAGAAGGAAATAATCGAAAAGTTAGAAACTTACCGTTCAATCCTTAAACTGAGTGAAGCAAAAATAAAAGAATTTAATAGAATAAATAAATTGATTGGAAGAGATGAATTTAATAAAGATGAATTTTTAAACTCAATCCCAAATTTAATTTTTATTTTTCTTTGACAACATCTCTCTTTCCATCATTACTGCATAACCGCATTTTCTCAGTTTTAGTGGTTTGTTATTTTTAGCAAGTTCTCGCATCATTTTTATCGTTTCCTCCTTGTTATGATTCGTGGTAAATTTTGAGCTTGTGGGGTATCCATTTATATAAAAATAAAATTTTGTTATCAGTTATTTTATCGTTAATGGTTTCAGGTTATTCAATAATTAATTATTTTTGAAGAACTGAAGGTGCTACCATGTTACCATGTCACCAGGTTAATTAACTTCTCTGAAAAAATGAGACAACATGACATTTTGACAACACAGCAGGAGGAAGGCATTTATGAATTATTTTTGAAGAACTGAAGGTGCTACCATGTTACCATGTGCTACCAGGTTAATTAACTTCTCTGAAAAAATGAGACAACATGACATTTTGACAACACAGCAGGAGGAAGGCATTTATGAATTATTTTTGAAGAACTGAAGGTGCTACCATGTTACCATGTGCTACCAGGTTAATTAACTTCTCTGAAAAAGTGTGACAACATGACATTTTGACAACACAGCAGCAGAGGAAGGCATTTATGAATTATTTTTGAAGAACTGAAGGTGCTACCATGTTACCATGTGCTACCAGGTTAATTAACTTCTCTGAAAAAATGAGAAACATGACATTTTGACAACACAGCAGGAGGAAGGCATTTATGAATTATTTTTGAAGAACTGAAGGTGCTACCATGTTACCATGTGCTACCAGGTTAATTAACTTCTCTGAAAAAATGAGACAACATGACATTTTGACAACACAGCAGGAGGAAGGCATTTATGAATTATTTTTGAAGAACTGAAGGTGCTACCATGTTACCATGTGCTACCAGGTTAATTAACTTCTCTGAAAAAATGAGACAACATGACATTTTGACAACACAGCAGGAGGAAGGCAAAAATAAATTCCAATCATACTTTATACTGCCTCATTTACAGGTATTTCATCGTCAGTAAATGAATCCTCATAATCGTTTGGTTCAACCTGTTTATATAATCCTTTCATTTTCTTCTTTCAAAACATAACACCATGTTTGTTTATCGTCTATTCTTCTATTGTTGACATATCTGTCTTTATATTCCGGATAAAAAAATATTTTATAAAAAACTAACTTTATTTTCTGACTTTCACAAAAGACCAAAAATAAACGCTTTACATGTATTTTTCAGCAACTTCGTCAAATAATTTTATAGCTTTATCTATCTCATCTACTTCAAACGTTTCTTTACCTTTCATGAGCACCATACATTTTCTCAAACTTTTCAAGTAGTTCTGTTTCTGCAGCTCTCATATCATTAACGAACACAACCTTGACTCTATTGACTGTACTGTCATATCTTTGAGTTATATTATATGTTCTTCCTATCTTATATCTCTTTGTATTGAAGTCCTTCGGTTTCTGAACGATGTAAAATAAGCCTTCACTGCAACGTTCCGTATCGAATGAACCATAAGTTATGAAGTTATATCCAACAACTGGGTCTAACCATAACAAAACTATTGTATAAGACTTTTGTCAATGAGATATGCTGTAGTTCCATAGAATCTTACCGATATCATAAGCTCAGGATTTCTTGTCAAAATTTTCTGAGTTGAAGCATTTCTAACCCAGTCGTTTGTTTTCTTTCCAGATGGAGATATAATGTCTGACAAAGAATATTTGTTGTATTTCTTTGAGTATCTTACGTTTAAATCACCTATTCTAACCACTTTGGTGTCATTGTCTATCTTTCTAACTGTTTCAAACTCAATGTTTGTCATTACTGTTCTTACATACAAAATAAAAATAATGAAATTCATTATTTTTGTTGCTGAATTCAATAAAAATATATTTTAGGTGAAGAGGTGAGATTTCACCAGTTTTCTCACCTAATTTTTCACCCCAGTATATTTATAAGCGTTTTACATGAATTGTACGATGTATATTTGAAATTCTAAACAATTTCGTAGCTTCTATTTCTTCTGTCAGTATGTCAAAAGTTTTAACAATGCCGAAAGTTTCTTTATACTTCTTCTTGACGTCAGATAGAAGGAAATCGTCAGCTGTTGGATAGTTTTTGTTCAGAAATGCTAACATGTCCATTTTATCTTCTGCTGGTTTCTCTACTTCTTTCTTTAAGTCAGCATAGTCGTTTCTCATACGTTCTATCTCTTTGACGAGTAGTTATATTTCCTCATTGCTGCTTTACATTTGAACATTGCGGATTCATTTTTGCGTTATACATTGAAATTTGACCTGCTAGAACAACTAAGGCGTCAATGGTTTTCTTTAACTCAAAAGTTGTTGGTTATTTGTCCATTCCATATTTTACATCTTTTATCTTTATCTCTTATCTGCCATACACATTCAGCAACTAATGAAACAAAGTTGTCGTATGTCTTAAACTCCCCAGATTTATATATGTCAGATGTTCTTATATACCATGTCGCAATCTTTGTTCATAACTTTATGGTTGCAATGAAAACCAAGGAATTCATAATTTACTTTACGTATGAACTTCTTTATTTCTACTGAGTCAGTTGGTTTCACTTCTATTTCATCGAATTCAGGAATAGTTAGTTTTTGCTGCTGAATTTCAGGCAATTTGGTAAATGGTCAATAATGTCCTGCATGTCATAAAGATACTGTTCATTTGTTTCATCTTTCGCACTACAGTCTAAATTACTTGTTAAAAGTTCTTGCTTAATTCTTTGTATTTCTGTCTCAAAAGTATATGAAGAAGGAATGAAGCTTTTCATCTCTACCAACATTGACGTAGGATTCATGACTAGCGAGTTTGGTGCTGTAGTTGTTTGAATT